GACCTAGAGTTGTCTTTATGGTTGCATTAACACGAGCCACGTGCTCGGTCGTTAGGGGTACGACCCCGAGGGATGTAAAACTCCACCTTTGGAACAATATTTTCAAATTATTAACACGAGTCACACGCTCGGTCATTAGGGGTACGGCCCCGAGGGATATAAGACTCTACCTTGGGAGCAATGCCTTTAAATTATTAACACAAGTCACACGTTCGGTCGTTATGGGTACTGCCCCGTGGGATGTAAGACTCAAATTTTGGAGCAATGCCTTCAAATTATTGACACGAGCCACGCATTTGGTCATTAGGGGTACGATCCCGAGGGGATGTAAGACTTAACCTTTAGAGCAATGTCTTCAAATTATTAACGAGTCACGCGCTCGGTCATTAGGGGTACGACCCTAAAAGATGTAAGACTCCACCTTGGAAATAATGCCTTCAAATTATTAACAAGCCACGCGCTCGGTCGTAAGGGCACGACCTTGAGGGATGTGTATACTCGATCCCAAGGGATATAGAGACCCAGAAACAAGCCTTGCTACTCTAGAAGGTCATTATCAACATAACATCAAGGCCATTCTATAGAAACGAACATGATGCAGAAAGAAAGAACACTTGTAGAAAGATGAAGTTCCATTATAATCAAAAAGGGACTTTGCATCTCCAAGCATACAAAAAGTTAACTGTACAAAGTTGCAAAACAAACTCGGGACATAGAAGTTTCCAAACCAACAACTGCTGACGACCCTTGGCTTATATCTCCCCTGCTTCTCCCCCACCGAGGCCTCCACGCCGCCTTTGTAGTTCATCTCCAACCCCCAAAATCTCGTCTAGCTCGGTGTCATGCACTCTAGTAATGATTGGGGGCGGAGGGGGAAGATCATCTGTAGGTTTGATAGGCGACAAAGACGGGAGGGCAAGAGAAGGATGGTCAGAACCATCGCTAAGTGTGATGGGTTCGTTCCCACCTTCGGCCCCGACTGGCCCTTCTGCCTGAACTTGGTCACCTAGGTTGGCTCGGACTTGTTCGTCTAGGGTTTCGTCATCAGCCTCCCTTCGAAGGCTGTGCATGGCGAACCAGTCCGAGTCTACCTCGATGTGGCAGGCATAAAGGGCGGCGTCCCAACCTTCTTTGAAAGCCTTCTTCTTGGCTTCCTCGAAAGCAGGGACCATTTGGTCCTGAGTGGCCAACCACACCCTCTGATATTCTGACCGCAGCCTTTCCTGCTCCCCCGCCTTCTCCGTTGTCAAGGAGTCCACTTTGGCAGTAAGTTCATAGATTACAGACTCGGACTCTTGCAGCTTGACTTCGAAGGAGGAGACTCGCAGCTCATACTCCTCGGCCTTCTTTATCGTCACAGCTTCACCCGCCTTAGTCTTTTCCAACTCAGCATGAACGACATCTCGATGGCAGATGAGCTCAGCGATGTGTTTGGTCTGGTCGCCGAGGGTCCTCTCGACCTTGAGGATATGGTCATCCTTAGCAGCTAGGGCTCGCTCGACGTTCTTCGCCTCTTATTTGTATTCCCAAAAAACGCTTAATAATGGCCCCCACCTGCTAGCTGACCTGAAAAAGGAAAACTATTAGAGAACGACCAAAAGGGTGCAAGGAATACTTGGGAATGCGTTGGACTTACCATCAAGTTGTTTTGGATGGTGCTCATTAGAAGTCAATTTTCTGAATAGCCTTTGTATACGACCATATCAGCATCAAATTGAAACGTCCCCGCAATGACAAAGGCTACTTCGGGAGACTGGAGGATGGAGTTGGCTTCCAGGATGGGGCGGCGGCTTCTGGTCTCGACTTGAGGGACCCATTCTCCCGAGACATACGAGCCCGAGGTGTTATGCCACCGCTTTACACGGCGCTCCTTAGATTGCTCGGCATCCCAAGCCCGTCGGTCCTTCGGTCTGTCCCCTGGAGCGAAAACTTGTTGAGATTGAGGCTTTTGCCTAGTCGGCAAAGCCGGGTCCCTGGATGGTTGGGGACGTGGCGGTGACGGGGGTGGTTACCGCCGAGGAGAACTAGGCGGAGGAATGATGGGGGCAGTGTTGGAAGGCCCGGCAAGCCTGGCTCTCCTTGCCGCCGTCGCGGCCTCCATTGTAGTGGCGGTGACTGGTGGTGGATTAAACATTTCAGGTGCAAGGGGCTCGAGAGCAGGATGATCAGACTCTTTTTCAGAATCTCCGTCGAATTCTTCCTTTGTCAACGAGGAATGGTCTTCTCAAAGAGAAGGGTTGGAGGTGGGATCTGGGAAAATCGGTTGTAGGTTGGCGTGTAGCCGAGTAGAGTGTGAGTCGCTCGCTCAACTGGGTCTAAGGACCAAACCCTCAGGAGGTCGGCAAACCGGACTTAGGACCTCAAGGGTTGAGCAGCGTCCCGGTGGTATCCTTCTGCAAAAGCAAAGATAGCGAAATCAGTACATCCCTTGGGTCCAAAAATAGCAAAATTAGTACGAGTCAGGAAGAAGACACACATTCATCCTTCGGCACTTTGGGGCAGTACAATCCATTATACTCGGGCCCTAGTCCTTTCTCCCAACTGCAGCCGAGCATGATCAGATCGTCTACATACCCCTTGTCCTAGTCGGGCATGTGGGTTGCCAGATACATTGAGGTGTCTCGAGCTTGGAGGTAGTATCTCCCCCCGGTGACTAACCTCAGGTCGTAGCAGAATAAAATTTCATCTACTCCTAACTTGGTTCCTAGCCGAGCGTTTAAGGCAACTACGCCCATCACAATCCTAAAGAAGTTAACCCTACATTAAAGGGAAAAGAGCTTCAGTTGCACCAACACTCCCAGCAACAGTTGCATCCACACTTCTCATATCCCTCCTATGGTGAGTGGGGTTAAAGGAGAAGGTAAAGACAGGCTCATGGATGTGGTACCTAACCCTAAAAACTTGAATATTTTCATCAGTCACTTGGGTTCTCCTTATCTTATGGGTAGTCCTAGCCCTAACAGATGTCTCCCCCTGATTCTACTAGTTCTGGCCATTGGTGGGCGCTAAATGGACGAAATATAGAGGAAATGAAGAGAGAAAAAGCTCAAGTAGAAGTACTTACAGGAAGGTGGTCTTCAAATAGAGAGCTCGGAGAACGAAGGAAATTCGGAGGAGAACAAAGGAGCACTTGGGGTCTGATTGCTGAAGAGAGGCTGAGGATGCAAAAGTTCTGAGAAAGCATGAAAACCTTCTATTTATACTGCCTTACAAGGAGTGAGAATCGAAAGGTTGGGTCATCATTAGGACATTTGAAAAGGGCAGCGTCAAACGTGTAGGTAACCGTCGCTATTAATAAGGCGTGATGATTGAGCCCCCAATCTCTTTACGTCACTTGTCTTACACTGCGAAAAGGATGGTGGCTGGGGGCAGTTGGTGGGACTCGAGGTTGCTCTACAGCCCCCAGGTTGACACGTAGAATAATAAAGCCGTTGGGATGTCCAAAGGGCGCTGAGGAGGTAAGCCGAGGTATGATGACACGGAGCAACCGAGTACGACAGCTGGCATTTGTGTTTAATGCGATGTGACCTCTCATTTATGGCGGAATGAGTGATAGTGACAAGACAAATAAATGCGCACCTGCACTCTGGGAGTCTAGGCCTACTGTCATGATAGCTAAACATTAATAGCTAATGCGTCGAGATTACGCGATCGGCTCCCCCCGAGGAACTGTTCCCCCGAGTATTCAACATTCAGTTGATGTCAAATGTCAATCTAGGGGATTTGGGTACTCAGGGGAGAGGCATAAATGTTCGGCATGTGGCCGAGCATTTATCCCATCTTCCTAGCATTTAATAGGAGAAAACGTGAGTAGAAAACACTCATTGCACGAGGAATGGTGTGTCAGATGTAAGATGTTCAGATGGGACTAGAGATCTTTGGTAATTATTGTTAATTCAGGTATAAATATTCTTCAAAAAAATGGGTAAAGGTAAGCAAACTTGAACTAGAAAAAGATTGTCTATTGAGCTAAACCTTCGACCTTAAACTGACTTAAGCTTCGGAGAGGATAAGTCGGGTGCTCACCTGGCCCCCTTTTTATGATCCTATTATTTCAGGTTCGTCAACTAAGAGATCACTGTCTTAAACTATTACAAGAATTATCCCGTACAAAAGCCAACAATTTTACAGTTACAATGTGCATATTTTAGCATATTGTACGTGTTTTCACCTCTTGTTTTTCTCTCATTCTACTTATTCTTTTCTCTGTCCTTACTTGTTGGTCTGCACTGACCAAGTTACTCATATGAGCCATCGTCGCATCGATCAGCGGCAACAATTAATATATATCTTGGTGATCGTATTTTATAGAATATAACAGTTTCGGCGTGGATGGTGTACTTTTAACCAGATTGAGAAGGGAATTAACATAAGATGACCCGAACAACTTTGACCGTTCAACAAAAAAAAAAAAAAAAGAACAGAGGAGTTGATTTTTGTTGTTAGCAGCACAATACTTTCTTAAGCAACAAATGGACGCATATTACATTCGGGTTGAACACGTTTTAATGATTACAACATCCAAGGAAGCATGCCAAATTTCGAAATTACCAAGGTTTAAATTTTGTCATACGGATTTGGGCTTAGCCTAGGTGAATTAAGATGATAAAACAGACGTTAGACTTGTCAAATAAATATATCGATTTGAACTTGGCTAAATGTGATATGAATTCACTAAATATATCTTGTACATGACTTATTCATGGCACGAACTCAACTATAACTGCTGTACAATATTATAAATGGGTCGGACAGTATTGAGAAAATGCGACACAACACGACTTAAGCATAACAAACCAAGACAACACAAGCAATTGACGACAAAACCTAAATCCAAGACACCATAATTAAGTTTGAATTAGTCTAGTTTAGTGTCTTAGACTCGGATATAAATTCACGAAAGTATTATTACAAATTGTCTGATCAAGTCTCAAACTGCTAGTTTGGAAGAAAACACCACCTATATAAGTGTTAGCTAGAGGGGATTGCTTCAGTCTGACATGCCTGCACTTCAAAGCTCTCCAATGGTTAGTACTCCTTCAACTACTGCCAGCCTTTCACCTAAACAATTTTCGCCTACTCAGCTCTCCATCATGGGGGAACCAAAGCGTAGTCGCGCCCATGAATCGGCCAGTAGCTTTTGTGTTCCTCCATCCAACTTCCAAAAGGTGAGTCTCACTATGGTTATTCTGGACTTCATCATCATGTCTGCTATTATGTTAGACAAGACTCTGTTAAGTTGAGTTGAGTTTAATTTTGTTTTTGTTTTTTTTCGGAAATTAACTTGAGTTGAGTATGGTATCCTGTCTGCTATATATTTTATCGATTAATAATATCGTGTTACTTGCCTCCTTTGTCATAAAGATTGCTGCCGAGTTCATAGGTACCTACATTCTCATGTTTGCTGGCTGTGGAGCTGCTCTTACTGATAGGGAAAGGGCACTTACAATTCTGGGCATAGCAATGGTCTGGGGTTTGGTGCTGATGGCGCTGATATATGCACTTGGTCATGTCTCCGGGGCCCATTTCAACCCTGCAGTGACTCTTGCCTTTGCTGCTTCAAGCAGATTACCATTATTACATGTGAGACTTCTACAAACCACTCTCTTCTACCATGAATCCACAGGGATGATAAAAATGACTAAATAACACTAATAAGGGATGTTTGGATTCTCGAGCCTAAATAACACTGATAAGGGATGTTTGGATTCTCGAGAAGAGAGGAGTTGTGGTGGCCCCTTTGACCACCTCTAATATTTGTGGAGTTTTTCAATTTAATCCCTAATATGACTAGGATTGTGGTGCAGGTGCCCATGTATGTCTTACCTCAGCTGTTGGGTTCTACACTTGCATGCCTCACCCTGAGAGTACTGTTCAATGACCAAGGCGATATAAAGCCGACAGTCACTCAGTACTCTAGTTCAACTACTGATCTTGAAGCCATTACATGGGAATTCATAATCACTTTTTTCCTAATGTTCAACATCTGTGGTGCTGCTACTGATGATAGAGCGGTATGAATAAGTCCTTCACCGGAAAAAAAAATGAATATGTTCCTCAAATAAGTTGATCTTTTAACAACACTAAGATGCTGACTTATTGCTTCTCACTGATAAAAAACAGGACAAAGCGCTCTCTGGAGTTGCAATTGGAGCTACAGTGTGGTTTAATGTCCTGATTGCCGGGTAAATGAACTCAGTTCCAAAGTTAATAAATAGCCATTATGTCTATATACTCTGCATATTCTATATCGTCACCACCATCATTGTTCTACCACTAATGTGTCTCCTCAAATTAACCACCCCAACTCGAAAATAATTTTATGAATATAATATTTTGATTTTATTTTTTCTGCAGGCCTATTACCGGAGCTTCTATGAATCCTGCGAGGAGTATAGGCCCTGCTATAGTTTCTGGTGTTTATAATAATCTCTGGGTCTTTGTCATAGCCCCCATCCTTGGAGCCATGGCTGCAACCTTGGTGTACAGTGTTCTCCGGCTTCCAAAGCCTGAACGAAGTGAGGAGAACACCAAAAGCACGTACAATGATCTATTTCTACGATCAGAGGTCTAGAACCGTCACGTGTTGCCTATCAAATGCTGGAAAAAGCCAGGGAAAGTATACTGAGAAATGCTTAATTGAATCTCACTTGGCAAAGGAGGGTAAAATTTATTTCTCCAAAGTGGACCCATGAACTGATTTTTTTTTCCCATCTGTATCTAAGAGAGAAAATAATCTACATATGGATCTCACAGAATACAATATTCCAATTGTCGATTTCAATCTAAATACGGGAAATGTCTGATTGAAAACCTCCAGCAAACATTTGCAAATGTGGGGATGCAGAATACATTCAACGGGTCACTGAAACAGTGAGGATTTAATCTAGCAGTTAATTTGCAACTCAAACTGTACAGCTGTGTCAAACATACTTTCTTCTACCCATGGAATCATTCAGTGATGTAAGAAGGTAAGGCAACCATGATAACTGCATATTGCAACACTAATATCTACCTAATTAACAAAATAAAAAAGGTATAAACCTCAGTTTATTAGGGGACTGAACATCCTCTTTTTGGCACTCTCATCTTCCCTTATGAGAACAATATTTACTATACAGCAGAGCTACAGAAATTGTACATGTTAGGAGACAAGGACACAGGAGCTGCCTGCTCCAATTTGAAACTTCAGACACAAAGGAAGTCAACTGTTTGATCAGACCAGTGAAAGGATCGTGTGATGAATGAAGATGTACATGGGATGACCTCTCGTTCCAGTGGCCCATAGGGTTAGGAGACATCTCAACTCTTCACCACCAGACTAGTTGCCTTGTCACGATAAATGTCTAACTGTCATGAAGATTAAGAACTAGATCATTTTCTTAGCTGAAACAACTCATTACAGATGTAAACATAATTCCAAACACACAACATCATTAGATTCTGGGTCAGTTAAAATCCTCTGAATTGAGCATTTCCTTCATTCATGCAAGATCGACGCCTACAACTCCAATATAATCACAACAGCAAGCAGAGACAGTTCATTATTAACATGGTGAAAAAATATAATAGATACTGTCCTAGCCTAGTAGAGTTCGTCACCAATCATAGTTATTTACCCAGTCTGAGAAAGCCGCGCCCAGTTCATTAGCTGGTGAGACTGCGGGTGCCTCTGCAAGTAAGAACTGGTTCCAATGCCATTGTCTTCACCAACAAACGACTCTGAATAATTTGAATTTGAGGGAGACCACACTGGAACTACACCTCCATCCCTTTCTCTCCTGCTACTACTTGAAGATTCTGCAGTTGAATCTTCAGAATTCCTGCGCCCTATTGTTAAATTAAATTGTGGCAGAGTGTTGTTGCTTCGAACAGTTTGTATAGAAGCTTGGTTAAATGTTTCTCTCATTGGTTGTTGATCTACATTAACATCTGTTGGCACTTCTGCTCTGCTATCTTCTGCTGAATTTCGAATATCCAAAGAAGTTTCTTCCTCTTCAACCCTCAGCAGAGAAGAAGTCATACTTGGGACCATCTGATCCCCATATCGTCTAATTGCAGTAGTAGGATTGTTCCTGACAGTTTCCTGATCCATTTCCATTTGCGTGTCTTGAGGAAACGCAATGGTAGCTAACTCAGAGGAGTCTCCAAGCCCTTCCTCGGTTCCATTCTCAATTGCAGCTCTAGAAGCTGCCTCATGCTGCCACATCTGCAAAAGTGCTTCATGCAACCTGTCTTTTGCAGCATCAATTTCAACAAGGGGAAGAGGGTAATTGGACCCCAGCTCAATTCCAGCAGCTTCTAGTACAGATACCGGTGCATCCCAAGGGTGGTGTATCCATTCAGTAGGTAGTCTAGCCAGTTCAGGAAGCCATCGGCGTACATATTCTCCATTGGGATCAAATTTGTAACCTTCTAACTGTAATAGAACTATATCTAACATGAACATCTTTTTGCCAAAAATTTAGATCCTTTAAGGAATTATAAACAATTGAACTCATGGGGCAAACAGATGCAGAATTATCACCCAAATGCATTCTAAACTTTTTTTGAGATCTGCAGGAAGCTGCAACTTAAAAATTAGTTTAACAAAAATCAATCTAAGCTTGCAGCAACAAACTTTTTTCCTCTCTGTTATGCAATTTTGTACGTTACAGGTCATTATATTAGCAACCATGAGAACATGGGTTCAAGTATGAGTGCTACCGCTTTGAGCAGTTGATGCCTAAGGTTAAGTATGGATCTAGTTTACCAGCACCTCACATTGAAGGCGCTAAAAGCCAAAACAATGTTAATGACCTTCTTCTAGTTTGGGTTGTCTGTTAATAGGTTGAAAGGTAACTGCCATAAAGACTTCAACAAATTGGAAGTGCAAAGTATAAGGTACCAATAAGGCTACAGTACCAAGACATTGCACTACAAAACCTTGGGTTGACATGTCAAAATCCCAGTCCATCCAAAAGGAACCACAACAAAGTGAATTTTCCTATAGATAGTTTTCAGATTTCATGTGACACTTTATAAACATTTAACATCTTGGTGCTAAAGCAATAGCGGTTGTCCTCAATACAAACAAGACCCCAACCAACTGCTAACAAGAAGTAAGATACAATCTTGCGCCACACTCGTACAATTCCAGCTTATATATGCATTAATAGACAGAGAATAGTGGCCCACAAAAAATTTGGGGAGTGAAGAGTCCACATCACATGTAAAATCTGTGTTGTGGGGCACCAACACTTTCACCCGAATCATTTACCTACAAATGAAACACTAAGAGATAGGGAAAGTATATTAAGGCAAGTAGAATAAAAGATTTTTCAAAGCACTGAGCCACTAATGGGATGGGAAGTGTTGGAATCAAGGCTTTTGATCAGCTGAGTTACTAATGCTACAACCAAACTGCATTTGCAGCGTATTTAGAGTACAGATAGTTTAGTTTACAATTACTTCAACTTGGACAACTTGTGCAGGTTATCAACTAGGAAAGAGCAGTCACATATGCAAACAGCAAACATAAATAAAACAAATCTCAGCCTGAATTTTTTAGAAGTCATGCTCTTTACCTGTGGATTATCTATGCGGTCAAACTCTCGACCATCAGGGAGAGTACCAGAAATATACTGCCAACCAAGAGCATCACTCTCAAGATCTGCATCCAATAGGGTATCCCAGAAGTACTTCATTCCCCATCTCCAGGGAAGCTGCAGCACTTTCACAAAGAAGCTAGACACTACAACCCGTATTCGATCATGTAGCCAACCAGTGGCCCACAGCTCTCTCATGCCAGCATCCACCAATGGATAACCAGTTCTACCTTGTCTCCATGCTTTAAAATAACTCTCATCCACCACCCAAGGGAAAAACTTTAGGTGCCCAAGAAGAGGCCGTTCATGGCTGTAAGGATGGTTAAAACTCATGTATCTTGAATATTCTCTGAGACCAATAGACTTAATGAACAAGTTGACACTCTCTTCCCCAGCTTTGTTCCCTTCGTTGGCCCATAAAACTTGCTTGATGCGAACATGGTGGAATACCTTTCGCACACTCACTTCACCAAAATGTAAATGGGGAGAGAGAAATGAAGTTGTAGCACTATCAGCCTTCCTACGGTTCTTATAGTACTCAATCAATGGTCCATTGATGAAGGTTGTTAGTGCCTTATCAGCATTACTCCATCCGGGCGACCATGCCCGACCAAGAAGTGCATTGCTTCCCTTCTCTAATTCGTCTTCGAATACCAGTGTTTCTGAAGGACACCTAGACACATCACCTGAAATAATGCAGGTAATGTTTCAGTGCATATTGCATAAAACAATTTTTAGGAAAAAGAAATAGTGGGATAGAGAGAAGAATGACAGCTTGAAAGACTATGGTTTAAGCTCTATGGACTTATATTGAATCAACGCATAGAATATACACCAGACTATAAGACTACATAATTGTGAAATGGGACTTTGATTAATGTGTTCCATAGATAAATATACTACAAGAAAGCTGGCATACCCACCTCATGGATGTCTATATAAATTACAACAAACACAAAACGTTCTGCTACAAAATTGCTATAGTCACACAATAGTTTCAAAAAGATGTAATGAGGGAGCTAGGGTTTCTTCTATCTCTGCTGAAAAATGATTTTTTTGGGGGCGGGGGAGGGGGTGTAGAGTATTATATTCATCATACCATCACAAAAGTAAGGTTCAATTTGATAATGAAATTTAATGTAATACAATGGTTAGCCTTGTTTCGTATAATGTATGAAACTAATTTAATATGAGAAAAATGCAATAAAAACTGTTGAAGGGAACGGACCTGAGATTATCCTCTTAGGTGGAAGAAGAGGAGCCTCAGGATCGTATGGCATACTAAGGCATCTTTCCCAGAAAGCTGCAAACGTTGTGAAGGGATGACCTTGGTCATCATTAACTTCCCATGGTTCATAGAGCAAGTCTGCATTGAAGGATCGCACAGCTATGCCTTGAGCGGTTAAAACTTCCTTTGCCCGGTGATCCCTAACGAGAGACAAGGGGTCTAAAACATGGAAAAAAGAAACGTAATTCAAACCACTGAGGACTAGATAAGATTCACAAAACTGACTTTGTTCCCTAAGCTATGGAACAAGGCAAAAAGAGGTCACAGCAGCAGCTTGAATGCTATAAGAGCAAACGCTTAAATATATCAGAGTCCTGAAATCAAATAAATCAAACTTGCTTCTTTCATTGCATAGAAAAATTGGAAACAGGTGGATACAGAATCTGATCAATTTAGAGGATGATGACAAGGCCATCCTGTCAACTAAAAAGAAATTTTCTTGAGCATGCTAGAATCCCAATATTATACAAGACTTATTATGTCCTATGCATCTAGCCTCAGAAAAATAGTGTCAGAAATTGAAGAATTCAATTAACCAATAAGCAAAAGAGCAGCTTGGAAACGACCAACTCATTAATAATTAATATTCTTATACTAGGCAACAAGTATCATAAACAGCAATCTAGGTAATAGGTTAAACAAACAGGATTAAAAGAATATAAAAATACCCATTGATTACCACCTAAAAAAGCTGGGAAAAGCACAAAGAAACAATTAAAAAATCAGAACTAAAAAAAAAGTCAATACACATAAACATAAAAAAAATAAGGAAATACCACCAAGGTTAGAGGAAACTAAAACTGACCATACAAGTGGTTGAAGAAGAGCTGATTAGCCCCAGTAGATTTGATAACCTCAAGGAGAGAAGAAACACAATCTGTAGATCTTTTGGTGATGAGAGAAGTGCCAAGGCTCCTCAAGGATGAATCAAGGTGGTCCAAACTCTGTTTAAGCCACCACCTTGACACCCTCCCAGGATAGAAGTGACCCTCCTCCTCAGGTGCCCATATGAACACCGGAACCACTGCTCCTGCTCTCACACCAGCAGCTAGGGCTGGGTTGTCTTCCACCCTCAGATCTCTCCTGAACCAAACTATCCCACACCCACCACCTGGCATCTCCCAAAATTTCTAAAATTCAAGTAACCCCTCGTTATTTACATACCACCGCTTTATGTATCTCTATTGGAGAACAACAGTGTAGAGTATCTACTCTTGTGCTTTTTGGTATTCTATTCTTTGTGATTTTAATCAATATGAAAAGAATGATACTAGAAGATAAACTTGGAAAAGTGGTTCTGATGAATGGATGATGCACTTATCTTTACACATTTTAAGTCTCCCACGTTTTTGGTGAATCTTGTTTTCCTGTAGTTGTATTAACCCAGTTGCACACAAAAAGCTGGAGAGAGAGAGTGGTTGATGGGAGGGGGGCGGGGGGTTGGAAGAAATTGATAGACAAATTGCAGCCACATATTTTGTTTTGAATATTTTTACTTCTATATCTACTTTTGTTATCCTAAGCAACAAAACAAATCCCACTCTCTACTGCCTTCACAAATCCTCTCTTTGACAGGGTGGAAAAAATTGAATTGAAATTTGGCTTCAGCCTAATGTACACTAACACATAAATTTGTACATATCTGTGATTTTCCTGCATTATTGCCATCTAAAATGTGCTCATATTGTCTTATGGGACACCTTGAAAGTGAAATTACACTCTGATCCTTGTCAAATATGTTGTCTTTGCTATGTTTAAGAAGGGCAAGTTTGGGATTTCACGTCTCTCTTTTATTGGTTGCATTTGATTCTGGGGACCCTTTTGCTACTTGGAGGTTTTATTGTGACATTATACACACCAAGTTGGGGTGGATGGGGAAGCTCACAAGTTGGAAGGGGACCGGAAGCATGGATGAGATAGGAGATAGGAGATAGGAGATAGGAGATAGGCTTGTGCTGACTAACTTGGATCTGGCCTTTTTTGGTGAGGTGGGCCCTTTCTTCTTTTCTTAAGGGCTCATCAAAATGCTTAGATTCCATTCATATGTGTCACTGTTAAAAGTGATTTGTGATGTGTGCCTTGCTCATTTGCCCTTCCAAACACCCCCATGCTGATCAATATTTGTCGATAAACTGATGTAATCATTGAGATATTAGGATTCGGTGGTTAATCGTTATATTAGTTTAATTAAGTTCGTTCTCAAAATAAATAACGGATTCGGTCAGGAGTTTCATAATCTCACCGGTGAAACCTTATCACGATGATCTCTAGGAGTTCTCTTTTATCCCCACCTCTTTTTCAATAGCCAAAAAAAAAAAAAAAAATCAACATGCCACTAGTAAATGCCTTAGCACGAAGCACCATCCCTCCGGCCTCCACTTTTTACATCCTCCACTCACTTCTTTCCTTAAACAAGAGATCCAATGTGTCAAATGTAAGTGAGGCCAATAATGTGGGTTTTCCCCCCCTAAAATTTCGGATTGCGGTTGTCAATTTTGTTGATTAGACACAACAGTCAAATTTAATAGGTAAGGTTTTGTGCGAATTATGGGTCTGTTTAATTTGCATTTTAAAATTTAGTATCTGAAAACAGTTTTTGAGAAGAGTTTTAAGAAAGTAATTTTGATATTTTTTGAGATAAAAAATTTGTTTGATTAGATAATTTCAAAAACAATTTTACAATATAAAAAATAATAAAACCTGTTTAGACAGTTTAAATATATATTTAAATAGTAATTCAAATATTAATAAAAAAATATTTTTAAAAAAATTGATAAAAAAAAATTCAATAAACCAAACTTTTAAAAAAAAATATATATATATATATATATATATATATATATATATATATATATATATATATATATATATATATATATTTATTTATTTATTTATATTATATATATTTGTATATATATATATATATATATATTTATTTATATATATATATATATATATATATATATATATATATATATATATATATATATATATATAAACACAATAGATATATATATATATATATATATATATATATATATATATATATATATATATAAATACATATATACGTATTTATATATATATTTATTTTTAAAGAAAACTCTAAAAATAAGCTACACTTATTTTCTGTTTCTTTGACTCAAATTTTATTTTTTTTCCAAAATTTAGAGAACAAAAATGCTAAACAAATAGGTTTTTGAAATTTTGAGAACAAAAAACTATTTTCGAGATGATAACCAAACATGACCTATATTTCTCACTCTAAAAGATTTTAAGTTTTTTATTTTGTACTTTTAAAGATTAAATTTTTTATATTATACTTTCAATATATCAAAAGTATTGTAATGTAACCCTTTTATTAACTTTCTGTTAATTTTTTTGTCAATATCAATAGATTGACTTTTGATAGAAAATTAATGGAAGTTAACATAATAGCCACATTAGAACACTTTTGATAGGGCTTTTGGCACTTTGCACCTAGAAAGATTTTTATTTTGTATCCTTAAAAATTAAATTTTTTTATATCGATGAAAAGTGAAAATGATAAAAAGTGAAGTGAAAGAAAAGAAAATGATAAAAAATATGTTTTCATGCATGTATTTGATTAGCATGAAAAACTTACAAAAAAGTTTTAAAAAATTTCATTCTATTGTTTAGAAAAAAGAAAGTTACATGAAATTTTTTTCTAATTATCTAAATTACCCTTTAATTATATTAAATCAATCTAAAGAGGAAAAAAATATGTATTATAATTGAAAGTCAATTTTTTTTAAAAAAGTGGCTCGTAATCTAATTTTGGAATAAATACTAGTACGAAAGTCTTTGGGTTAAATTATATAATTAATCAAATCTATACCAAGATTTTTTTAAATTAATAAATAATAAAATATTTTTTAAAAATAAGGATAAAACGAGAAATTAGTTATAGATCACAATTTTCTTACATTTCTATCTATTTTTTACAAGAAAAAAAAAGTGATTAATTGTGAAAAAATTCAAGTATAAAAGAAAATTATTTTTTTCATCATTTTTTATTTCATACTAACCAAATTTATAAAAATTTAAATTTTTTTCTTTCTTATATTTTTTACTATTTTCTCGCTAAATAACCAGATTACGGAAACACTCGGTTATTTTCCTTGATCATCACATGACTCTATAGGATCAAAAGTTATACTTTTCATGCCCTATGTGTCAGATTGCTATTTTGTGTTTATCTTATACAAACATTAGATCAAATTTTTACTTAAATTTTAGTTAAATATTTATCTAAATTACATAATTTTGATCATAAATTATTTTTACCAAGCTAAATGCCACCGCCCAAAGCGACCGTATCTGAGGAATGCACAGCCTTTTTATGATGAGAATCCACATGATCAGAGTCCGAGTCTGACATCAATTGTTGTGACCCAATTTCGTACTGTAAAAGTTATTTAAGTGGATGTGGGATGATATATAATTATGAGATTTTGAACTTTCTTTGCACAAGCATTTTGAAATCATATGACTTTTCCGACAGTGGACAATGTTGTTCTGGACATGTGAAGTAATGTTGAAAGAGAATGGAAGAGACTTCTTTGTGATGTTATGTACTAATCCAAGATTCACATATGCCTTATGAATTCAAAAGTTTGAAGGAAGACCATTTGCTTGGTGATGCAATGCAATCCACGTAGTTTTCAGGACTATAAAACATTTTCTTTTGGATTCAACTTGAATAATGATCGTGTTGTTGAAACTTATAAATTTTACAAGAAGAAATCTGACACACAAGTTTTTTGAGTTTGTTTAAAACTATTTATTATTATTATTATTATTTTATTTTTTTTGTAATTTTTAGACTTCAACTTATAACATTTTAGAAGTCCAGTTACAACATTCTGAGATATTTGAGATGGATCCTAAAAATTGTTATGATTAACCTTTACAATCTTAAGATTGATTGTAAAATCCAAATATTATAAATGAGTCCAAAAATTTATATAAAAAAAATCTTAAAAGCTTGTATGTGACAACATAATACCTCAATTTTTATTTGTGGGTAATATAGACGGACAAAAAAACAAAATTTGAGAAATTCAAAGAATTGTACGATTTACTTTCTAAAACTTTTTTGAAAAAAGCTTTTTTGTTTTTTTTTTTTTGAAAAAAAAAAGTTATATTAATTAAAAGAATTGTACGATTTACTTTCTAAAAGGAAAAGATACTTAAAAATGAAACAATAAAAACATAAAATGGATAAGTTTTATAGGTGCTTGTGGTATTATGAGTCCTTTACATCCAAGAAAATTGAATCAAAATATCTCAACAAAGCAAATTTAATAAAAGAGTTAATCATAAAAACTCGTTTATGACACAAGCCTTATTGTGTTAGGTTTATTGAAGTCGTACCAGCATCTCATATCAGATATCGCCACCTTTGGGGGCTGTTTGTTTCATTGGTTATGAGGGATTTGATACGATAGGTTTAAAGAAAAAGTCCAATGGACCAATACAACGGGGCTGTTTGTTTCATTGGTTATGAGGGGCTTGATATGATAGGTTTAAAGAAAAAGTCCAATGGACCAATACAACTCATGCTTAGTTACTTTTAAGTCCTGGATGGATTGTAATCTCGACCTTTAATGGCTAATTTGTTTAGGGAGGGTTTGAATTGATTTTTCTAAATTCAAAATTTTCTTTATAAAGATAAAATTTAATATTAAATACGGTACATATTCATATTTGATATGTAACACATATATATATATAAAACTTACAGATATATTATAATTATTTATCTTATAAATGATTATTTACCCTCGATAAATTCGATTCATATATATATTAAGGGGTACAATTATTTTTTATATCCTTAACCCTTAACCCATTTTTTCAAACCCGCCTCCCATTTAAATTGAATTTTCAATTCAAATATTAGATTTGAAAATCCTTTAAACTATTTTTCTTAAACCCATCTTTTTAAGTTTTCCCTACCAAACGGCCCTGAGTGGTCTAAAATATTCAATCCATATACATGGATACCGGCAAACCTAGGGGATGTTAAATGATCCTTCTATCATTAATAAAATATTTTATTTATCAAATCACATGTCAACCCCCTAATTCATAAGTTAACAAAAAAATATGTACCTAATCAAATATGGGTATGAATTAAATTGACAAATAGACAATTTAGTCAATTACATAACAAATATTTTATTATAATTATAATTAATTCAGGGTTCTCATATACGTATATGCTATTTACCAAATACATATGTAAATAAAATACTTGCATAAATGATAAATCCCATGTACACAAAGGTAGAATTAAATTAAAAAAAAAAAATTGGTAAAACCAATCCAATACGCCACCAAAAACCATCCAAACATGCAGTAGAAGCACAATCAGCAAAACAACAGACATGAATCTGAAAAACTGGGTGGTATCACTTTCTCTTCATATTTATTATTTATGGCCCCAAAAATTAGAAAGCGCTTTCACATCATGTTCTTAGATAAGGGAACTTATGCCTCGAGCTTTACTGACCAACCAACCTGATCTGATTGACAAGATGCAATCCAACCAGGAAGTAACAAGTATGCGATCATCAACCCCCCATCCCCTAAACAGGCTTCACATGACAGATACAAGAAAAAAAAAGGGCAATGGTTTTGCCTGCAAGGGAAGCTTGATGTTGGTGTTTGCAAAATACATACACTTATTTTCATGAAAGAGGCCCATTACTGTATTCAATAAAAACGAATTATGTGTAAAAATCTATTTTATTTTATTTTCTAAGGTACCAAAAAAAATTAGTATTATGATAAAAGTTACTTTATTTTGAACTAAAATTATAACTGCTTGAAATAATTCATGATTGATCATAAAATTTTGTAATCAATTATTGTGAATACCTTTAATTATTTATAACTTTATTTTTAAAAAGACATAACTTTTATAATCGACTATATATTTTAAAATCGATCATACTTTTTGTTATTGTAACTTATACTTCAAATAATTATAACTTAATTTTATAAGTCTATAAATTTCAACACAGTAACGTATTCTTCCTCCCAAGTTTGAGGCTCTAACTGTGGCTTGACTACAAATAATGATAGCAACCATTTTTGATTGTTGGGTGAGCTTTTATGATTGCCACCATCCTTGACTCACGCACGAGTACTTCAGATGGGGTTTCACTAGGTAAGGTGATGGGGACTTTTAAACAAAATCTGCTAATTTGATTATGAATTTTAATCATGTTTAGCAAATTCACGATGGGAGTTCTTTTTTATGGGCTTGGTCTAGATTAGAGCTAGTTCAAAAATACAGATCAAGCCCACATCAAACATACAAGTCTAACCCACTACAGGATGGTGGAAGATAGGTCAGGTTAGTCACGTTATCTTGAGAGAGTTAAGTTAGCCGCTTCATTTGAAGAGATTCAGTCCACAACGGACACGCGAAAATAGTGCTACAACCACTGAACTGTCTTGCCTGTTATGAAAATGTTGTCACTTCCACCAAACTACCTCATTTGTTACAAGAATGAAGTCTCAATTTGTTAGGAAGCGATTATAAATTGTAAACTCTACCTACACAGGGGACACATATCTCACATCTAAGCACTCTACACCCCTTGAGTAATAAAATACTCAAGCTATCATAGCCCTTCATAATGGAGTAATTCACCCTTAACGAACTACTTAAATTGTGTTTGTTTGTGTTAACTCTCTCTCTTTATTATGGTATTTAATTCTTGACAAGTAATACATACACACATTTTGTACATCATCACTTTCAATTAATGATAATTGCCTGCATATAATTAGATGAGCAATGATACTTGGAACTAATTTGTTGACATGATCATACATAATAATTGAATTGATAGTGGACCACAATATTTATTAGAACTTGCAACCAATTCAATAGTTATGATGCATTTGAATCAATAAATTATGTTAGCAAATTAAATTCAAATAATATTATGATAATTAGAAATAGTATTTGCCAAGAGTGTATTTTGCTTACCTTATTTAACCTATCCGATATCTGATTCAAAAAAAGCTTGGATTGCTGTTTTTTTTTTCTCTCTCTCTTTATAAAGTCAGTCCTACTATTGAGCAGAGCCCATTGTCAAAGGGATCTTCAAAATAATAGACTTTTACAAAATCAGTTTTTTCTTCTTCTTCCTTCTCCTCCTCCTCCTTTCTTGATTATCTCCTCGTGGTTTGATCTAACAACATTGTTTTCTCTATACTTTAAAACTCTACATATAATCTTTTTTGTTTGTGGACCAAACTGTAACATCTAGAAATTCAATTTAAAGTAACAATCAAAGGTTGAAATTCAAAATTTTAACCGGTCAAAACGACTTTTTTAGCCTTGTATGCATATTATATTTCTCATTTGTTATCTCCTTAAAGTAAATTAATCTCTTTATTTCTCTTACAGTTCTAGGTATTAATTAAAAAGGTTTTTCAATTTTCAGAAATTATAACACTAACAATTCTAAAAAACAAAATGCAGGGTATTGTGTCTTTTTATTCTAAATTGTCAAATGCCAGAATTATTTGTTGCACTTTAGACCCAAACACTATGGGATTATGGGTAGATTTCTAAAGCATAAGGAGATAAAAGTATTACTAAATCAAACAAATTACAGAGGTAATCTATAATTTGTCTTAATATATATGCGATGGTAAATTCGGGTTTTCATTTCTTGTTATGGGCAAAAATGAAATTAATCATCTCCAATGGGATACAAAACCTAAAAAATTTGATAAGAAATTAAAATCATAATAGAATCTCTCAAAATTCTTGGAAATCAAATGTCAATGTAATTTAACAAAACAAAAAACCCTATTGAATTTGAATTAAATATTCTTCATTCGCGATAATTCATTGCATATATATTAGATTCATTGCATCTTCAGTCTTATCTTAGATTTTCTGGGAAAAAAACAGTTGGGCATTGAATTTAATGTCAGAGATTATTTAATATAATTGTGATATCATCGATAACATAATATTACCAATTAATAATAAAATATCAAATAAATAAAGTGAATCTCTTTCAACAATTATTAGCTTACACGAAAAAAAAAATGAGCAGATAATAATGACATGATATTACTAACCAATAATAAAATATCAAATACGTAAAGTGAATCACATTTGAATAGTTATTACATTACATAAAAGAAGAGTGGGTAGTTATTTGTTTGTATAGACGGGTAGTTATTTGTTTGTGTAGAGTCCACTTGCTTGCTTGTCTACATATTTTTAGATGGTAATACCATGTGATAATATTGACGTGGTATTACTGTTACGATGAATATTTTTTCATTGAGCAATGTTACATATACTTAAAAAATATATTTAAAAATTAGACTTAATAATCTCAACCATTGATTTTATTGTGGGTCTCATAATTTATTGGTACATATTATTTATTTAATGATTGAGATTATTAAATTTAATTTTTAAGTCTATTTTGCAGTACTATTTTTCATTTAATGCAGTCCCAACTAACTGCTGGTATTCCTGCGAAACCCATAATCATAACTTCGTCTTCTTCACCTTGATCTCTATCATCTCAAGGACTGTGGTAAAAGTGTCGACATACGAGGACTAGATTCATGGCCATGGGCCACGACGCCGTTTTCCGCTTGTCTCTGGTGTGGTTGGCTGCAGTAGTGGTGTTGGTAGGACTTTACACACAATCTTTCAAGAAAATGGTGGCCACTTACCTCTTTGGAATGTTTGCAATATGTGGTGTGCTTTTGCCAGATTGGGAGTTCTTCGACCGCGGTGTCTCCCAGTGGTGCTCTCCCCTTCAAGTGGAGAAGATGGGCTCTCAATCTCGTTCTGCTCTCCGACCAACAACACCCACAAGGTGCATATATATATTTTCAGCCTTTCTTCCACTCAATTTTCAGAAGAAAATGTTCTTATCTTTTTGTCACTTAGGATTGGGTGTTGACGTCATGATAAAATTGTTCTATTGTGAGGTAAGCCATCATAGATTCGAGTCAAAAAAGTTTGGATTCACAAACAATAAATGAAACAGTTTTTTTATGGGTGACTTAACACAGTATACATAAGATTAGGGTTGATAGCTGGTTTGTTTTTTTAACGCAGCCTAAAATATTGTTCAAGTTTGATTTGTTTAGAAAATGAGCCGCGTCTGAACAAGTTCAAAATGAATCGAGCCCGAACTGAGCCTGTCAAGCTCGTTTTTCAAACAAATCAAAAAAATTATTCAAAAAAACGAGTCAAACTTAAACAAATTAAAAATAAGCTGATCTGGAATAACTTGATTTGATTAACAGTCCATCTTACCTTTGCTGACTCTGTCACACCCCTACCCCGGATCACATAGGGTGGGCGACAAACTGGCCACCAAGGTTTTAACCAACAAACCTTATGTATAATAAATACAAAATATAGCGGAAAACAAATAATAAAGTGATCCAATCCATCGACCTAATGAATAAACTAAACATCACCGATGTCATTATCAAAATCATATAAAACAATAATTAAATGATAAGGTTCACTACTCTAAGCATAAGTAATATCGTTTTCAAAACAATTGAATATTTGTCTCATAACTATAAAAGATATTTATTCCTGAAGACCTACAATAAAATAAATCTTCGACTCTTCTAATCTCTTGTCTATCCAAGGACTTACTCTTCCCCCTGATCCTTACCTGAAAAATGTTAAATGTTTGGATGAGCACAAAGACCCGTGAATAGCAACCACCTCTAATAAGGTATGAAAATAAATCCCAGAATTTATATACAAAAATAAACTTTGATACACACATAAGTACAACAAATTGTACCTCAATCCCTCCCACATAATCATTTAAACAAAATGATTTCATGATCAGAAATAATTTTATAAATGAAAAGATATTTAAAACTCAAAACACTCATGCACACATTCAGTTTCACATACATTTGTAAATCATGTTTGTTATCACTAGCCTGATAACTGATTCAGTCTTTTGTTACCACTAGCCTGGTAACTGGTCCAGTCTTTTGTCATCACTAACCTGATAACTAGCTCTGTTTCTTGTTACCACTAACCTGGTAACTGGTACAGTCTCTTGTCATCACTAGTCTGATAATTGGCCTAGTCGCTTGTTACTACTAAGACCTGGTAACTCCAGTCTCAATCGCTTGTTATCATTTAGATTTGGTAACCCCAGTCCCGGTCTCATAAACATGATTTTCACACACACCAAAACTGTAGTTTTAATCCCAACGCACACAAAAATTCTCTTTCATCACCGAATCAATGATATAAAATCAGCCCACAAGTTTTCCAAAATTCACATGTAGAACAGTTCACAATTTTCAAAATATTTAATTGCAATCTCAAACATCAACACATATATCATATATATGAAAAAATTTATACACACGCACCTACACATTGAATATAGAAAGTCCTTCCAAAAGAAGTAGTAAACTACTCACCTTGATTTCTAAAGTCTAATTCAAAGCACTCTTTCTCAATCTCAATACAATCATTACCTAATTCATATATATATATATAACAATCAATCTCTTTTCTTAATTTCGTCGTTTTTCGATTCTATATTTAATTTTTATATTTTTCACCTATTGATATATATTTCATATATCTTTTACATATAAATATCCTTTCTAATATGAGGTAATAGGGTATGGAAGTATTCTACGCTTTTTGGAAAAAGTTTCTAAAGTTTTAGGGTCAAATCATAATTTTTGAAAACTTTTGGTATCAAAGTATAATTTCATTGAAAAACAAATTTTCTACTTTCGGGACTACTATAAATTTTTCAAAATTCTATTCTTCCAGCTTACCAAGTAAAACAGTAATTAAAATTAAATTTTAAAGAATATAGGGGTCAAATTACAGTTCCTTGAAGTCAAAAGGATAAATTATGTAATTTCTGGACGTTGTCTTCTCCCACCAACGAAGGCCTCCAGGTTGTATATTCTGTAAGTTCAAAATCAAATCCCTTTTTTTTTTATCTTTTTCTTTCCAACACATTGAGTAAACTCAATCAATTCCAAATCACTATAAACTTAAAGTTCAATCTAATAACTTCAATAATTAATAAGGTATCATGAGACTATATATATATATATATATATATATATATATATATATACTAGTTATTGCATATGCCTGAAGGCACAGAGTAATAAAAAATGGTAAATAATAAATATATTTATATTCATATCCAAAACCAAATTACAAACATAGAGAAGAGATGAAAGAATTTAAACACCAGTTTGTAGTGGGGGTGAGAGGTGGTGGTAGGACACGGTGATGGTTGTGATGGGTGGCAATGACTATGGTGGCGGTGGTAGTGGTGGTGGCAATGAGGGCGACGACAATGGTGGTGGTGGCGACAGCGGTGGTGGTGATGATCATGGTGGCAGTGGTGGTTGTAAATGGTGGTGGTGGTAGTCGAGGTAGTGGTAGTGGTAGTGGTATGGCGGTTTCAAACACTATTTTTTTTTTAAAGTATTTATGAAAAATATTTTTAGAAGTAATTTTAAAAAGTCATTTCAAATACATTTTTATGAGCCTATTTTTCCTATTAAATTTAAAGTGTTAATATTAGCCGTTAAATTAATTTTAAAGTAAAATTTAAAGTAATTTTAACCGCGAATAACAAAAAATATTATATTTATCTTTTGAAATTTGAATTGTAAGCTACTTTATTATATAGATATATATGTATGTTGACACCAACATTATAAACCCTACACCATCTCATTGAATAAAAATATAAAACTCATAAGAGAAGTAATCAATCCATACCTTTAATGGAATCAACCCATTTTTTTTCTTTTTCCTCCTTTATTCTCTTTCTTTCTCTCTCCGTTAAGCCGCACTCTTTCTTTCTTTATTTCTTCTTCCCTTTTCTTTTTTTATTTTTTTTTATTTTGCCCTTTTTTGACCGTCTACATATATCTTTTATACAAATCAAAAAGAACTCTATAGTAATCCTAGAATTCCTCATTCCTTAATTGCACTAATATCCCTTTTAAAAAAAATATCACAAATTGACCTAAAAACTAATATTGTATTTATTTTAAATTTGGGATATTACAGGCTCCGCGACAGGAGATTACATTAATTTTCTAATTGTAATGCTGAATTTTCGTAGTTTTTGTGCATGTCAGTGATTCAAGGGGGGATTCTTGTGCCCCCTTACAGACATTAATGTTGTTAGTTTTTTAATCTCTTCGATATTTGAATTGATGATTCTGTTTGTGCAGGTTTAGGATCTACCCTATCAGAATGGCTGTGTACACTGTGGTTTACGGAATTGCTCTTCACAAGTGGTGGATGTTCATATCTAACTAATGAATTACTTGCTTCATCTCTGAATTCAACCACAAAGAGGGGTTTTGGATTATATGTATAATTAACCGTCTCTAAGTGATAAATGCATCTTGACATTAACTTGTGGAAATACGAATCGGGGTTGCTTCGAACGGCTGAAAGTGCTCATCTCTAATTGTTTGTAGCTGTCCAACCAATTGTTAAAGAACCTCAAAGTTCTTCTAAGTAATAATTAACACAAATTGTAAATTTGATTTGAATTTCGAATCTTATCAATTTTTTAGGTCCAGGTTATGAAAGATTTATCCTTTAAGAATATCTTAATTTCAGTGTGGATACTCTGTATTTAACCAAACTAAGAAAGAGATTAGTGGAGTTGCGCATAAACTAGTTCGAACATCTTGATCATTAAACTAAAAAAAAAAAAAAGAATTTATTTGCTAGGATGTTTAGACTAGAAAAATTTTACACGTCATGAAAAAGCCTATTGATCAAGGGAAAAATGCTACAAGTTTGATTAGTGTATGTGTGTGTTTACCATGTGGTTGTTCATGATGTGATAATCGAAAATTTCCATAAGAAAGTGTTCCCTCATAACAAAGAGAAGCTCGTCTTTACTCATCCATTGCTTTGGCAACATCAAAATCCACGCCATCATAAATTGCGCACCCTATTAGTTACGCAAAAACTAAGTTTTTAACGGCTATGAACATGTTATAGACACGCTTCAAAAAAAAATGTTTAGAAAAAATGATTGTTGTATAAAAAATGTTTAGATAATATAATTATATAGTAATAATGATTTTTTAAGAAAAATTAAATATTAATTTTTGATTTTATTTCAATAAAAGATATAATAAAACATGAATTTTAATTGTAAAATTCATAATATTTGATATTTTATCATTGGTTGAATTATTTTTGGTTTAAGTATAATATTTTAAACTTAAAAGATCTAAGTAATATATGTTTATAAATTTTAAAAGGTCTGGATGTAATTTACTGAATATATTTATAGCAAGGTCTAAATGTTAACTGCTAACATACTTCTGAGGATTTGTGTGTAATATTTTAAATGCCAAAAATCTAAATGATTAAGTGATTGGCCTCGAGGGTCTGTAATGTAATTCTCCTTTAAATATGAGTATTTTCAGGGTATGAAGTGAGATTAAGCCGCATATAAATGATGTACTCCAACCGGCCTCCGCAGTGGAGATTCGAGATAGAAAGACAATATACAGAGGGAGAACGAGCAGAGAGCGAGAAAGAGAAAGATGAGGCTGCTAACCCACAACATGCTATCATCCAACATCAAGGGCGTGGCCAACGGCTTCCCACTGAGAATCGAAGTTGAGAAAGTTGTCGAGAAGCAAGTAGACTTCAACGCCGACTTTCTCAAGAACATGTTCGCCAAAATCGAGTGGAAGGCCCTCGTAGACGCCTCCAGATCCATGGGCTACTCGGAGCTTCCCGGAGATGCCAACCCTTCGATGCTAGACTCCGATGACTTTCTCCAGAAGTTCCACCACGCGCTCCTCGAGCTCCACCTCGAAGAAGGTGCTCTTGTCTGCCCTGAGACCGGCCGGAAATTTCCCGTCAATAAGGGGATTCCCAATATGCTTCTTCATGAAGACGAGGTCTGATTGAAAAATTTAAGTCATTTTTTAGGGTTTTGAAAGAAAGAAAAAGCTGGGTTTTAGGGGGCTCATTGGGGGCTTTATATCAGGTGTAATCCATATGGGAGTTTTGAATGCTTGAGAAAGTGTTTATTAGGGTTTGGTTTTGTTGAATAATATTGCGTATTTGTGTTCTTATTCTGTTCAATTATGGTAGTGCAAGTTTTATTATTGCTTCAATTCAATAGGAATAGTTAGTACTTTGTGCCTTTTCAAAGGGTGTTGAGATGGAATGTCTATTGGAATAAGGCTTTGTCAAGTGTAAAATTCATTGGAGATTATTGATTGCCTTCTTCAGAAATTTAAAATTCTGTCAGAGAGTTTGAAGTGCACTAATCTAAATAATAATTCACAAGGTGCAGAGAGATCAATGTGTGCTGCAAACTTTGTGCTTCTTTAATACCCAATTCGAGTTGGGACTGCTCTGCGTGATGAATTCTCCCCAGTGATTAACATAGCAGCCCATAGTTTAGCATTGGATGGGACTGCTCTCCGTTCCCTCATTTATCTTTTTTTTTTTTCTGTTCAATAGTCATATGTATCCGAACACTTATGCTAAACACGGGTATAATTTATTTCACTAGCCAATAAACCACCCCCCCCCCCTCTTCCCCCACCAAAAAATACACACACACAGAGATTACCAACTATGTTCCTGCTCTCACTGGACTGTCATCAGAAGCAGAAGCAGAAGCTATAGGCATATACCAGATGTCCAGAAAAATGGTAAAGGGTTCACACTTCCCTTCGCTTTTTTCATATAGATATCGCTTCCTACAACAAATCTCATTGCAGAGCTGTTACCAGTTTAAAGACGCAAGTGACTAGATCAATGATTGAACTGAAAATTCAATAAGTGTAGAATAACTTAGAAAGCATTATGGTTTTTTTTCCCCTTGCTTCCTTCTGTTTTCCCATGAAAGGTTATAAATAATTCTTGGTATTATCAATTACACACAAAAACTCAAATTAAACAATATAATCTAATCCCTAAGAGGAACAAAGTACTGACCATGACCTCGCTCCATCTACTGTCTGCATGCATCAACAATTGCTCAACAAGATAGAATCTAATCCTGCACCATCATTCAATACTTCATGCCATCAGAATTGTGGAACATATGACTTCGACCTCGAAACACCTCTGAACCCTGAATGCTTCCCTCATTTTGTTTGACTACTCCTCCGGGGAGTTGTTTCGTAAGGGGGAAGAGGCACACCAAATACCCAATCAAGAACATTCAGGTACTTGGATCGAAAGACATCCCTTTCTATTGCATAGCAGTGCATGATGATTGCAGTGGAAATGCTGAAAATCACCACATCAGCTCTCCTGTAGTTCTTCGATGGAGGCAAATATCCAATGTCAGCCATGCATGTGACAAAGCTCTCAATGGCCCGTGCAAAGCAGTAGAGTGAAATCTCTATCCGCCTGCTCTTCTTCTCAATTGCCAAGGCCAAACCAGTTGGAAACTGCCCACAAACAACAGTTCATCAAATCAAGACCACCCCATTGTTCTTTCTACTTTTAAGGAATATTCAAAATATTCTTTTTACCGTTCCCATTGCCAACATAGGAATGTTGCACCTTTTAAAGATCCTGAAGAGGAAACATGTCCACATCCTATGCACCATAGTACCATCACACAGATTAATTTTCAATTGATTAAAAGCTTTCTGCATGACAAAAAATGAAATAGCAAAAATTGAAGAAGTGGGAAATGTTAGCATGGTTTGTTGGTTGCCAACTTGAAGTATACAAGTTATTTTTTTAAGCATGTAAAGCGGATCTTTCTATGATTATTCCCTCCCCAAGGCGGTGTCTGATTTATGTGCCTTAGGCTGATGAAAATCAAGCATTTATTTTGGCTGGTCAATGGTGTTCTTCTATCTTTAACCACCTCTTTGAATCTCATAGCTCTTTTGCTACTGTTTACGATTTCAGCATTCAAGTTTCTTGAGAAGAACACACCTGTGGGTTGCACAAAAAAAAAAGTGTATTGTCTTGGATATTAATGTGGATAGCTACGTTTCTAGGTTAAATAATAAAGAGAATAATGGGGAATGCATTCTGAAGATATAACGTTCAGAGAACATTCCTCAAAAACTAGCTGGCACGAAAACTCACTTAAGGCATATCAAATTTTTATTTCTTTCAGTATTACATACTCATTAAATTATTTCGGCAAAATTAGTCAAAGACAGCATATGTCATTTATATAGAACCAGATAATTCTTGAGCTGTCCAAAAGAACGTTTTAGAGTAAAGTGATTTCCTCGAAAAAGGTGAAATTCAGAAGGTACTACAAAATACAAATTCCATGGAACTGATGTATAGCATCAGGGCCATGAGTTAACCTGAGAGTTATAATGCAACTCCTTTGGCATGCAAAGAAATGTTGACCATATTGCTTTCTATGTAACACACTCACCAACTTGGTGAACGGCTATGGAATTGACCCAAAGTCCCAAGGTCAAATTGCTATCTAGGACTACCCCAGAAACAGGGGGTTTCAAGATCACCTTGTCCTTTAAGCAGGATTAGTCCCACCTCCAAAGGGGTAAAGAATGCCTCATAAAACAAAGAAAAAGGGGAACAATTCTTACGAATGTATGAGAACATATATACTAAAAGTAGTAACACTAGAATGCAGCAAAATAATGCTTACCAGGCAGATGAACAATACATGGATAAAAATAAGCTTGATCTTGCAGTGCCCAGAACACCTTTCCCCAAAATTGTGTAAGGTCTACACAAGGTAGATCAGGAATAGGAAAGTAAATAATGTCCAAGAGAATCCAATTACTGGAAGAAACTCAATCAACTAGGGAGGAAATAATAAAATATATTACCTCTTCAAGAGTCCTTGACGATGTACAATTAGTGCAGGAATTAAGTAAACAGGAAGATAAACTGGTAATGCTCTCTTGTAGGCTTGAATAAGAAATGAAACAAAATGCAAAGCACATTGTTGATTTCCATGTACCATCTGCATAACATAGATTAAACAAAAACAGGACTATATGATGTATACACAAGAGCAGAAAACAGAAGAGTATGTGACTGAGGAAAAAAATTATATATTTACCAACAATAGCAGTTCTAGTTTACAATAAGCATTAACCATATATAAACCAAAAGAAGATATCAAAAATGAACAGAAAAAATGCAGTCACAGAAAGGAATCCATGATGATGCTCCAATATCAAGTGTCCGACATACTACATATTAGCTACATGACAATTTATGTGAGTGGGAAATATGTTTATGTGACAACCTCATATGAATTAAAGAGTGAGATTCATTTTAGCACGAAAAGTTCATCAGGTAACGTCCATGCAAATCCCTGCACTTTGCATATCATTGCTAAAGAATAGTTCTTAGCAATAAGAAAGCTACCCACATTTAACTTCTAGAAACTTGACTGGCAACATTAAGGTTTTAGTACCCAGAAGATTGCTTTAGTTTTATGCCTAAATGCATTTGCCCAGAACCGATCATCGCAGCGAAATAAGTAGATGGCTTAAAAATTCTGCATGAAGTGAGTCCAATAAAGAAACACCGGTGAATTCATCAAGAAAGGGATTTGACGACTCAAGACAATCAAACAGATGATTGGGATGCATGCATCCAGTCTAAATAGCCTGGGCAAAATTTGAAAGGCTTGTTGATGTTAAACTTTGCATTGCTTATCAATCATAAAATTAGTATCTTAATCAAACATCTGCATCAGCTTCCACTTCTTCCATTTTTTTGACCGAATGGTGAAAAGCATATGCATTAATTCAAATGGCAGTGTCCAACATGGATATCGACTGAAGTACTTTAATTTACCCACTTTCAAACTGCTATATAATTTAATTCGTTTTCTAGGCCACTAAAGGACTAAAACTCTTAAAAATTGTTGCTTTATCAAAGCTCGACCTAAAGTCTGTCTTTGTCTATCCCATTTCTTTTTCTCCCTAAAAGTAATTTCAGCATAATTCCCCATAAACACACATCAAAACCCTTCTCTGTCAACACCATGAAGAAAATAATGTCAGAAGAAATGGTAAAGCCAAGGTGTTAATGCTTAGGGCAGTGGTAATAGTGTCAGAAAAACAACTATAAGATGGTTCAAAGTTTAGAAAAACTGTTTTCTACAAACAATGACAAAGGTTAGACCAGTACGAAGTCCACCACTCCCAACATCCTAAAGTAATCCCTAAAGAATAGTAAAGCCACCCACCTAACATTTCAGCAAGTTACTAAATTCACGATGGATGTGGCAAAGATGGTTGGACTTATGTCCAATTGTCCATATATTAAATCCAAACAAAGTCTTTGTAAAGAGGAAATGAGAAACATATAAGTGTCAGTTCACAAAACTTGGCCTAAAAGACAATAAGCAGCCTTTATTTTTTCTTTCTAAAGTAAGCATGATATTGAGTCATTCTTCAAATTTATTTGGTCATGCATGTTGCACAGATAAGACAAAAGAAATGCATGTTTGCGTTGAAAAAATTGTTGATAAGTTGAACAAACAAGCAATAGATTCAGCAATGCATACCGAGCAGGGGACTTTCATTTCTGGATCCAGTTTAATGTCAACACCGGTGGACTGGTAATACTTCTCTATAGCCTCCAAATTAGTAAACGGCATGCCGCATGCAATCTCCTTCACTCCTTGCAGGATAACAGAATCCTTTGCGCCATGTTTATTGAGAAAGGACTTGTATGAGGGGGGCAAACTATCTTGCTTCAAAATGTAAGCACACCTGGGGAAAAGCATATTTACCCACTTATTTTATATCTTAAGGAACAGAAAACCATCATCATTTAGAGGATATAGTCATCAGGTCATATTCTTGAAGTCAGAATTTCTGGACATTCATCACATAAAGAATTATGGCGGTCTACATTTGTTCAATGTGGAAGAATATAAAGCAAGAGACCAGACACCACCACCACATGGAAGATAATGCTAATTTTAACCACATTGTCAAAGAACTGGAAGCACTATTATTTCAGTTTCACTTTTTGCAACTGTAAGTTTATGAAGCCTTGTTTAGAAAAAGACTTGAGCTTACAAATCAACAAATGAAGATCTGTAATCCAAAATAATTGTCAATAGAACAATATTTTTGGGTTTTTCCACATTTTTTATGACAAGATTTCCCATTTGTGTTTGAAGCAACTCTTATTGTAATACGTTATAGTGTAGCTACAAAAAGTGGTCTGTTTTCCTCAAAATCTCATATCAAACTAATGAAAGATTTGGTTGATCTGTCTAAAAGTTTATGTTTTGAAACAGGGGATAAGAATGTTTACTTTGTGTTCCACTACATGCAAGAATAGATTGTCAGATATTATTGCTAGCAGGTCCTCAATATCACTTAAACTTAGATCCATACCACATCCGCACAATCTTTTTTCCCAATTTGCCAATTTAGTATTTGTTTAACTATAAGTGGAAAGCTCAACACCAAACTTTTCAATCATTGCTATACCACATTTTTCAGCTGTTAAAGAAAAGAAGTGAGAGATGGAGGAAGATGAGAGTGGTGGCTTAGGAAGACTATCACGCACGAATAATATCATCATTGTCATACAACGCTATTAATTTTATACAGCATCACACTGCATAGCATAATTAACATGCAACATTTAATTAGAACGTGAAAAACAAGAACAAATTCAAAATTTAGCAAAAAAAACAAAACATTTCAATATATGGAGCTCAAAACAACATACAGAATTTGAGAAGAAGAGAGACACATAAGGAAAATGTCTCCATGTGCCCAAGTAAGAGGTTTACAAATGCGTCCAAATCTCTTGCTTTTTATTCCACATCGCGATGCCAAGACAGCAGCACGCATGAGAATATAAATGGCCAAGCTGTTATGTTGGGTGTTCAATCCAGTCAATAGCATTGAAGGCCCTGCTATCGCCCCGGCTAACAAAGCCCTCCATTTTGCTGTCCTGAATGTAAAATAACGTTACCAATCAAAGCCCTAATAATCAAATCACTAATTCAAAACCGTTTATCCAATCAGCTGAATGATACATTTCTTCAAAAATAAAAAGAGCTGATCCAACTCGAGTTCTCACTAATTATAGAAATTAACTACGAATTTAAACATAAAAAGAGCTAAAAAAAATTTATAGAGATGCCATGCCTACGGTGTCCTCCCCAAGCAGCTATAATTTCATCCACTGAAACAAATGTACCAGCAAAAGTGCCAAGAAAAAGACCATATCTGAGAGTTTCTTTGATAGCCAAAATCACATCGTAACTACTGGAAACCATTTCTACTTTCCTGAACCAAACAATCAATTTGGAATTAAATAAACACATGCACGCACGCATAAGAGCAAAGTGCGTAGACAATTAGATCTGAAACCAGATAACCAGAGGAAAAAAGAATATGTCTAAATTGGAGGTTATTTACTTTGCAGAGGGAGATAAACGTCTGCGACGCAAGCGAGCAAGGACAGAGAAGAGAGCTAGGCCGCCTTTGAGACCAGCTCCAATGGTGAAACCCTTGACTGAGGCAGCGAAGATTCTCCCAAGCTTATCGTACTCTTGTACTGGAATCGATTCGAAGCTGAGCAAAGAACCAGAAGACGACGACGAAGGAAGATTCGATCTTCTACAATGCGGACAACTCCGATCATGCAATTTGTTATCATCATCACTGTTGTCGACGGAAAAGCAAGTACAACGGCCGTCGACGGCGACTTTCCGGTCGCCGGACGCCGACATGATTCGTGGCTGTTAAGCTTGATCAGAATCTCTGGAGAACAAAAGCTTGGCGGCGAGTTATTCAGAGAGCGGGAGAGAGGGGTCTCTAGTCCGGACTACCTGGTGGGTATTAGAGACGAGTGAACGAGCTACACGATGGTGTAGCGGTTGATGATGACGTGTTTTACTTTGAGCTCGTTTGGGTGAATGAAATTTTTCAGTTGGTTTATTGAAATTAAATGTTTTTCTGGTTTTGTTATGGTCTTAGGTTGCCAAAGTTTCTGTCTATTGTAGTGTTTACGTGACAAAATGTTCTGTGTTGACCAAGTACCACATGGGGTGTACATTTATATATGATTAGTAATGCATTACGTGTATTTTACGTAAATTATTTTAATTTATAATTTTTTTATTTGAATTGAGGTTTGGCTTGTACAATAAAAATATATGCACACTGAATTCATCATTCTTCTAAGATTACATAAAAATCTTTAGGTTAAATATTAGGAAAAATTACACCCATAATTCTTGAATTTATCCCTTAATCACTTTGATTTTTATATTTAAAATATTACACATAAAATCCTTAAATTTTGTATGCGCGTAACACATAGACAAACCTCTACCGTTAAAGTCCGTTAGTATATCCGTTTCATGAGTAAATATTAATTGGAAATGCTATTTATGGACCTTATTTAGGGGCTTAATAATATAAAACTATTGGATTAATTGTGAGCTCTATCTAATATTGAAACTCATAACTAATCAAATGGTTGTTGCACGGGGGATTTTCTGCAACAGATTGAGATAGTGATTCTCTTGATGATGAAACTGTAGCAACCACAAGGTTAGAGAAGGGGTTAGGTGAACACTCGTCTTATCCCCGTCGAAGCTTAAATCAGTCTAAGTTTAGAGGCTTGAGCACAATATATATTTCTTCCAGTTTGGTCTTGCGTACCTTTATTCATTTTTCTAAAGAGTATTTATACCTGAATTAGTAATGAGTGTCAAGACTTGAAGTTTCATCTCAACATTAATGACTTGGACTCTTACCTATGTGTAATGAGGATTCTCTACCTAATTCTTCGAGCCTAGTTGACTTGGGCGATAAGGTGACTGCTCAGGACATGCCGAGAACTTATGGCTCTATTCCCCGGTCATTCAAGTCTTCTGACCGGCACTTTGACACCTAATCTCTAGCTTTCAATGTTTCGGGGGAACTGTACTCTCGATGAGCGTCAAGGAGATATATTCGGCATAATAGTCATTAATATTTTGCAATTATGACTGTTGTTTTGGGTTTTTAGAATGCAGTGGCTCATTAATAGTCCTGTCTTAGTCACTCACGTCTCCATAAATGAGATGTCAAGTCTTCTTAAATGTTGGCGTCAGTCTGTGTATTCAGCTCCTCCGAGCCATTTCGAGCCATTATTCCTCAGCACCACTTCTCAACCCTTTTTGAGTTTTGTAACAACTACGTCATTGCACGTGTCAATTTGAGGGTCGCTGAGCCGTTTAAAGTCTCATCAGTTGTATTAAAACTACATCATTAGATCTCCAAATAAAGCCTTTGTAGCATTATTCAATATCGAAATGCAACAGAGATACATGTCATCACTAATGACATGATATCACTAACCAATAATAAAATTCTAAATGGAAAAGGTAAATCCCACTTGAGTTACATGGCAAATGGGGTGGAATAGTAGTATTGATTTTTTTGGGGTCAATTTACTTATTTGTTTTAGTATTATTAGTTGGTAATAACACATTACTTTGTCATGTGGTATCACCGTTGTAATGAATATTTTCTCCAATTTCACATAAATCTCTACCGTTAGTGTTTATTAATATATCCGTTAGTAAACTACATCTAGACTCCTAAAATTTAAAGTGTGTGCGTTCTTAGAAATAAAATACTCAAAGGTATATTTGTTTGAAGTATTTTTTATAGGAAATGTATTCCTTACATTTGTAATACCAATGGATATTAGTACTGGTAATAAAAAGTATTTCAATATCATCTCATGTTTGTTTATTCAATAGGTACTATGATGAGTCTCACAAACAATCATTTATTCTATCATATCTTATATAACAAATATATTATTTTACTCTTAACATCATCTATTCCATTTAAAATAATTTTAAAAAAAATTAAAAAATATCGGTGACACTGTACGCTTAAACATAATACAAGAAAAAAAATTCAAAATAATTAAAAAAAAAAAAATTTTAAAAATCAGTAACACGGTACGCTTAAACATAATACAAGAAAATAATTAAAATAAAAAAAACTGAAAAAAATCGTTAACACCGTACGCTTAAACATAATATAATACAAGAAAAAAATTTAAAATAATTTTTTTAAAAAAAATTAAAAAAATAATTAATACCGTACGCTTAAACATAATACAAGTAAAAATTCAAAATAATTTTTAAAAAAAATCAGTAACATCGTAAGTTTAAACATAATATAAGGAAAAATTTTAAAATAAATATTTTATATGTGAACTCTTCACATAGGAGGGCATTTGTGTCATTTTATTCTTTTATACCGTCTTTTCATTTGTATCAATAAAATAATATCACCTAGTAGGTGGCATTCATTAATACCATATAGAACGCATTTAAGTCGCTATTCATACTGGGTTGATATTATGATCCTAAAAATAGTACTGATGGTAGAATGCCAAACAAATAAAGTATAAGATGGG